GCTGGTCTTTCCGGTGACCAATGGCCACTAGGGTCCTTCATTAGAGCAAAAGATGCTTCTATCACTCGGGAAATTCTAAGAGATCTAGGAGCTCGGTGTCAGACATTCCAAACACCCAGGAAGTTGCAAGGGGCTTAGGAGCCCTGTGCTAGGAACTGGGGCCCAGACCAGACATTTAGTTCTTTTCACTCTGCAGGCCCTGAGCTGCTTTGTGGCCTGGCTGGCAGTGCTGGGCCCTGAGCTACGATGGCCCCAGCTCTGTGTGCTTGGTTTTCTGTAGGATTCAGCGATTGCGTCCGAGTCTGCCGAGTTAAGGTTGTTTAATCTTTTGAAGTCTTTTTACGAAAGGCTTCGCCATGCAGACGTAAAAGTGACAGTGTTGAGTGTGGGGATGCGGCCCTGCCAGTAACCGCTCCAGTCTTAGCTTGGCCACTGTACCAAGCACCATGGGCTGGGCCGCTTGTAGCCAGTGGATGTTTACTCCTCGCAGCTCCGGAGGCTGGACATCCCAGATCAAGGCCCTGGAGGTTGGTGTCTGGTGAGGACCCTTTTCTGGTTCACAGAGGACATCTTCCTTCTGTGTCCTCACGCAGTGGAAGAGATGAGGGAGTTCCCTGAGGTCTCATTTATGAGGGCGCTAATCCCATTCCTGGGGCTCTATGCTCACATCCCATCACCTCAGGAGGCCCTGCCTCCTATTACAATCCTGGTAGTGTTTAGGATTCAGCATGCGATTCAGGGGGACAAGGCCTATAGCTGGGTTAGCTCCCAGTGTCGTGCTGTGTCGCCCCTAAGTGACCCATCAGCGTTTAGTCTAACACAAGGCCAGCCTCAGCCCCTTAGGTCTACACTCAGACTTTTTCTGGAGTAAAGGGGTCTCTGGGTCCGGTTCACACCCAGATTGCCAGTGAAGAAAGGCACCAAATCGCTCACCCTAAACTTAAAGGCATACACACCCCATTTTGAATGGGAGGGGGCACGGCTGACTCCCCATGGGAGGAATGGTCTTAGCAGTGTGACTGAAGATCAGATAGTTGTAGGACGGAGGTGGAGGCTGTAAATTGGCTTTCTCTGTGTTCGGCTCAGGTAAACTTTTAAAATTAAGCCCATACTTTTCCTGCACACTGTGATATACAAGAGGTAAACCCATAAGACCACTTTCAGAAGCTGTCAGGGTGATTTTAAACGTCTGAAACCCTCAGCTCAGTCAGCGTACAGCTGGCGTCGCTAGGGGTGTTCACAGCCCCCTCGGGGGTCTGTCCCACATCTGTGCCTGTGTCTTCTTTCATATAAAAGCTTTGCAGAATCCTGACCACAGAAATAACTCTGCAAAGATGATGTTACTTTTTGTCTAAAGCTCAGCCGGAAGTACCCAGATGTAAACCTAAGCCTGAGAACAGTATGGCTCCCATTTTGTATGATGGGTGCGGAGGCTTCACTGTCACAAACGCCTGGAACACAATTCTGACAGAGACAGTGTGAGCCCATACATCATGTGCTACATTCCCTCTGCACAATTCACTTAGAAAAAGTAGCATTTCCTTTTGATTCCTCATTTCTGGCATTAATTGGTCTAAATGTGTAATGAATGACTTTGTTTTTAAGAGGTACAAAAAGATGAAAATAAAGGGCCTCTACCCTTTGTTCTTGAAATGGAAACAGAGAGGACAACTGCTTTTGAACTATCCTTAGAAGAATGAGGGGATTGGAATCAGAAACTGTTTCCTCCCCAACATTTATTGTTGTTGAATGAACTTTACGATGCATGATGTCCTGACCTAAAGAGAGGAGTGGACCAGGCAAGGGAAAGA